GGCCTTCTCTCTATCTTTCTCTGTCCCTGTCTGTCAGTCTCTCCCTCCCTCTTTCTCTCCGAGCCCTCCCCCCCCCACCTCCACTCTCTCTCCCCCTCTCTCTATCTATGTCTCTCTCTCTCACACACACACACACTGCCCGCAGACAAAATAGCACGATTTCAACTCGAGAACGCTAGAACATTTGTTTACATTCGTACATATCAATTTCACAGGCCATCATGCGCTAACACAAAGGTCGAGCCCAAGTCTCTTCCGGACGCGAGACAGAGGGCAATTGAAACATCTTGCTAGGCGTATACATTTTTGTCTTATATATCCTAATGTGTTGTTGCGTAATAGAAAGTTCGTCGTTTTCACTTACACTGGCGAGCTTTGTGCTCAGTGTAAGGGAAAACGACAAATGGTCGATTGGTCAACGATCATTGCTTCGTTTTCCTCCATCTCATGGGATGGAACGCCCTTGAAGCAGGCCAAAATATTAAATATACGTCACTGTCGTAACTGACTAAAATCGCCTTACTTAAACCGGCAGTGGTCACTTCATCTAAATGAGGCTTGAGTGCCGTGAACGTAGCCTCAACAGCGTCGGCAAACTGCATTCAGGGAACCCTGAACGTAGCCTGCCAACTTGAACTCTATGACTCTATGTTTGTTAGACTCCTGCAGACTACGTTCACGGAACGTAGCCACTGCATATTTAACAAAACAAGGTGTGATCAGCACTTAATGTCTCAGGGAAGAAAAACCAGTCTACTCACAGAAGTATGTACACTCATGTTTTTCAACTTCGTCGACGTCGTACGGTGGAAGTCCTTCCTCATCGTCATGATGATCATGAGAGACATCCACCATGAGCGATCCAGGAGAGCGCCTTCCAGCTTCTGCTGTTGCAAAGACGCTTGGCGATCTCAAAATACATACAAGCAATAACACTGCTAGTATAGACATAGGTCTGTCTGTGAAATGAACGTACATCTTTCCGAAATTTGTGAGCTCGCCGGAGATTCTATTCAAGATCTACAGCACAGTCAGTTTGCACTTTCCGCTCCACTGTCGATTATTATTATTATTATCGAAGTGACTATGCCGATCTTTATTTCTCCGAACGGTTTCCGGCTTCTGGTCTCGTGATTTTTTGCCTATATTGCGAGAGTTCGGCGCCAACTTTCATTC